AAAAAAAAATCCTTTTTAAATACCTATCATCATTACAGAACAGGTCAACAACCTTTCACTCATGGATTAATGTAATAATTTCCTAACCAGTCCTTTTCTCGTCTAATCCATTTTCTGACTGTTACCAGACTAACAGTTGGGAAAATAATGTTGTGCTTCACATTTTTCAGCAGGCCACTCATGTTAGCATTACTAAGCATCCACTGTGTGAATGGAACTGCAAAGGATTAGGAATAGGAAAATGGGAAGCTGAAAAGGATATGATACTTCTCAATTATTTATTTATTTATTTATTTTGCTGTGGGTTGAACTCCAGGGTCTCTAGAATGCTAATAAGCATGTGCTCTACCAGCCCCATCTCAAATAATATTTATGAAGAAGTGGAGTTTAAATCTAAATGTGATTTTTACCTGTAACATTGTTTTGTCAAAGAGAACACACTTGAGACATTTAATGAATAGCAAAATAGTAAAATATTTTTTCCTTCCCCCCCCTTTCTAGGTTCGTGTTGCATGTAAATCTTGTCCCTGTGGTTACATATTTATTAATAGGAAGCTTCTAAAAATAAGACACTCAGAGAAATCATCACCTTTTACAGGTAATTTTGAGAGTTTACCACCTTTCCACTTTTTTCATTTCAGTTATATAAATTTAAGATTAATTTTTGTGAGTTAAAAGTTTATTTTTGCTACTGACATTAAAATGTTAGTTTATGGACATATAAATGTTAGATATAATAAGTCAGTTTATGACATTGGTTTGTTTTTTATCCACTGTAAGTGTTAACTCCCTCACAATGCTGATAAAGCTTGTAAGGAATTTTATTTTTATTTTTTAAGCTTGTAAAGAATTTTAATGAGAAATTTCAATTTGCCAAGGAAGTTAAATGGGAAAGAATAGTATTTTCAACAGATGGTGTTGAGATACCATGATGTATATCTACATGTGAAAAATGATATTGGGCCCTAATCTTTGAAAATACTAAAAAATTAACTTTAAATAGATCATAAAAAGAAAATACCATAGATCTAAAGGTAGGAGCTAAAATAAGAGTACTTTTAAAAGAAATCCTAGCAGCAAATCTTTGTCACCATGGGTTAGAAAGTGTTTTCTTAAATATGACACCAAAAGTGCAAGCGAAAAAAGAAAAAAATAGATAAGTTGGACTGCATCAAAACTTAACTTTAACTGGGTATTGTGGCTCACATCTGCAGTCCCAGCAACTTGGAGGCTGAGGCTTGAGGATCACAAGTACAAAGCTTACCTCAGTGATTTAGTGAGTCTCTGAGCAACTTAGTAAGACCCTGTCTCAAAATGAAAAATTCAAAAAAGGGCTTGGGGGATGTAGCTCTGTGATAAAGCACCCCTGAGTTAAAGCCCCAGTAACCCACCCCCCAAATTGAAACTTCATATTCCAAACAATACTATCTTTGAAAATGAAAAAGCAAGCCACAAGATAGGGAAAATAATATTTGCAAATTATATATCTGAGATTTGTGTCCAGAATATATAAAGAACTCTTACATCTCAATAGTAAAAAGAGAAATAACCCAACTGAAAAATGGGAAAATAAATTGAATAGTTAGTTATCCAAAGAAGATATTTAAAAATGTATGAAAAGGGCTGGGGATGTGGCTCAAGTGGTAGCACTCTCGCCTAGCATGAGTGAAGCACAGGGTTCGATTCTCAGCACCACATAAAAATAAAATAAAGATACTATGTCCACCTAAAACTAAAAAAAAAAAAGTATATGAAAAGATTCTCAACATATTAGTCCTTAGAATATGCAAGTCAGAACCATGGTAAGATAATTTCACACCTATTAGGACTGCAATAATAAAAAAAAAGACATAAAATGACATTTTGGTAAGAATGTGGAAGAATTGGCACCCTATGTACATTGGTGGGAATGTAAAATAGATCAGTTGTTTTTTGAAAGAGGCAGTTCCTCAAAAAGTTAACCATTGAGTTACAATAGTATGTAGCGATTTTCTTATAGGTATATACTCAAAAGAATTGAAAGTA